CCCTCCAAGTCGTTGATCTGAAACTTGAAGTTTGTCACGGGCGGCCCGCTCAAACTTGGGTCAGGCGTTCGTGTTCCGGAACTTGTTGGGGTTCATGCAGCAGCGGCCGAAGATGGCGTTCTGGGTGAGCTTCACCACCTTCTCGGCAACCACGCTCGACGGCGCGCGCAAGGAGAAGCGCAAGATCAAGGGTGTGCTCAAGAAGGCGGTAACCGACATGTCCGGTATCTCAAGTGTAGGGAGAAGAGCAGCAAGCGATCCCTGGTGCAACTACGTTCCGCCCGGCTCCGCGCCCTTCGACCTTGTGATGGAGTTCCTTGTGGGGGGCGGGTAAAAAGCACCAGCATGCGAACGCGGAATCATGGTCCAAATTCTTTTTAAGCAAGGCCTTTTTTTTTTTTTTCGCTTCCAACTGTCGCCCACGCCCAGCACAGCTGCAGTGTCAGGGCGGGAGGGGCAGTCTTTGAGCGATAACGACTTTCTCGTTGGCCTTCTGCGTGCAGGCGCTGAAGAAGCTTAAGGCCGAGGAGGATCATCTCCAGCTTCGGCGAGCGGGGGCGAGATGGCCTTGAAATGGTTGAGCGTAAGCGCCAGATCTCGCGCACTTTTATGTCGGCCTTAAAGTCTGCATGCTTGACTGGTGCTCTTTGTTTGCAAAACCCGCGCAGCCTCTTTAGCAAAAATGACGTGCAGGCATGGCTTCTGGAAAAGCCTGCCACGTGGGAAGACGCTCCCAGCAGCGCTCTGATAGTCAGCGGCCCTCTGCAACGCGCAAGCGGCCTTGCAAAGATCGCTCAAGCGCTTGCAGCGGCATCTTCATTATGATGATAATGATGCTGATGATAATGCAGAGATGAGATGATCATGATGATGATAGTGATGATGCTGATGACGGATGATGATGATGATGATGATGATGATGATGATACAGATGATGATACAGATGATGATGATGATGATGATGATGATGATGATGATGATGATGATGATGATGATGATGATGATGATGATGATGATGCCGATGATGATGATGGATGATGAGGATGATACGGCCACAAGTCAGTCTGATCCCCCACAACTTAATCTGACCCCCCTTACAAGCCAATCTGATGCTTCAAAGTCTTTTTGATGCTTCTGCAAGTGAACAAGTCAATCTGATCCCTCTAAAAAATCTGTTTGATCCCCAGCCCCCAGCCGTGTTGGTAGGGGCGCGGGGTGCAAAGAGCCGCATCAGTAAGCTCGCGCTCTTCAACAGCCTTGATGATGACGATGATGATGATGGTGATGATGACGACGATGATGAAGATGGTGATGGATGATGATGATGCTGATGCCGATGATGCTGATGATGAGGTGATGATGAAGATTCTGTTTCCTCAATTTTTGATTTGTATTGCCCGGGTCCAGCAGGGCAGGCTCCGCAATTGGTTTTGCACAAACTTTATCAGCAGTAACCTTGAACTACCAAGCGCAAACTTGAGGATGATGATGATAATGCTGACGGTGATGATGATGATGGTGGATGAAGATGATGATGATGCTGAGGATGAACGATGATGATGATGATGCTGATGATGATGATGGATGATGAGGATGAGGATGATGCCGCGGATGATGATGATAGTGATGATGTTGATGGATAACGCTGCTGATGATGAATGATGATGATGGTAATGCTGAGGATGACGAGGATGGTGATGATGATGATGGATAATGCTGCTGATGATGAATGATGATGATGGTAATGATGAGGACGACGACGTTGATGATGATGATGATAGTGATGATGATGATGGATAATGCTGCTGATGATGAATGATGATGATGATAATGATGAGGATGACGACGACGATGATGATGATGATGATGATGATGATGATGATGATGATGAATGATGACGATGATGACGGTGACAGGTGACGACGCTGATGAAAAGGAAAAAGAATGATGATGATGATGACGACGGTGATGATGATGATGATGATGAGGGTGACGATGATGATGCCGATGATGATCCTGGATGTGATGATGATGCTGATGATGATGATGATGATGATGGGTGATGAGGGTGATGATGATGCTGATGATGATGACGATGATAAAAGTGATGATGATTATGGATAATGCTGCTGGTGATGCGACGATGAGGATGATAATGCTGATGAATGATGATGATAATGATGAGGATGACGACGATGCTGATGATGAATGATGACGATGATGACGGCGACGATGCTGATCTTTTCCGTTTTTCGCCCAAGCACGGCAGCCTGCCCCTGCCCCGACAACCTGCCGAACTTGTCACCGTTTTTGTCACCGGCTCTAACACGCCAACCTGCCGAACATCCTAAGAGACTTCCAGGGCTCAAAATCTTGTCAATGTTGAATCAACTTGAAACAATATTGGTTCATTAATGGGCAAAGGTAGCCCGGTGTCGCCGTCGGGTTTCGAGCAAACAGCCGGGATTCGAGCCCCAGACCAGGGTGGTGCAGAGATGGTGCTTAACCACTGAGCCAAGGGAGCTTCTTTCGGGGTGGAAAAAGCAGCCCGCCGAGCTTGTCACCGCTTGTCACCGCATGTCACCGCTTCAGGCGAAGAGGAGCTCCCGGCCGGGCGTCAGGTTGTAGGTGCGCGCGATGTAGGGGTCCGCTGCCAGGGGTGTAGCCTCTGAGGAAGTGTTGACGGCCGACTGCAGTGCGTATGCGGTCAGGGCGCTGGCGTCGGCCTTGGAGGCCTGCAGCCCCGAGATCCTTGCTGCGATGTCGAGGGGGTGCTGGTCCACCACCGTCTTGAGGCCGTAGTTGGCCACCGTGGGCAGGGTGCCGTTCATGGCTGCCGTGGTGCTGTAGTTTGACATCCACGCTGTCGGGGTGCTCTTCGTGGCCACCACGCCCTCCAGCACGTCGAAGGCCGACTGGTCGGCCTTGTTCGAGAGACCCGGGGTCAGCGAGCTCTGCAGCGCTCGCGTGCGCGGCCACCTCTTCGAGGCCAGCTCTGCGGTGACCCGGGCGTCAGAGCAAGCAGCTGCCTTGCGGTGACGTGCGTGCCGTCCGTTACCTCTCCGTTGTCCAGGACCTCCGGGATGTTGCCGGTGACTGGTCCTTCAAACATGTTTCCTTAGGAGTGCTTGGTAGGCTTCCCAAAAGAAACCCCTTTTCCCTTTTTTTCGGGACCCCTTTTTTGGGACCCTTATTTTTGTCTTTTTCTTAGCCCTGCAAAGGTTGGAGCGCATATCTAGGGGTCGTTATGTTGCAGCCACACGCCTGCACGCAGCAAACAAGATTTCGAATCCTTGGCAGGACGAGGTCGTTTCCTGGACGGACGAGTGTCAGGATCCTACCAGGTGGAATAGAATCCGTTTGGGAAACTCCCTCTAAAGAGAGAGGACCGGCAACCCATGTACTAGCCTTTCCAAGTTCAGCCAGCACTGTCTGGCCTGGCTCCTATTATACTTTAATCTTGCGCGTCCAACCAATTGCACAGCCTTGCAGACTCCAAGCCGCAGCAGCTGCCGACGCGTGTGCAGAGGCCGACATGGTCAACATTGGAGGACGGGCTTCGAAACCCTAGCCCAGTTAGCACTGCAGGCACGCACTCGCACATCGGAGGGAGTCACTACTCCTTCAGCCGTCCGGCACGGAGCAGGCATTAAGAAGCTTTTCAGACTTCTTGATTTGTTTCTGCTAGTGGCCACCTCACGCACACTTGCAGCCATACACGTGCCCGGACGCTGAACGGGCGGACGATCTAGCCAAGCACGCCTACGTTTTATAAACCGCCCTGCAGAGCAGAGCGTGCACTTCCCTTGCAGCCTTGCTCAAGCTGGAAGAGGGCTCACTCTGTCCCATCGATGCGCCTTGGCGGCCAGAACACCTGGCTGAAGGGACAATGCTTCCTCCGTGGCCATTTTGCTTCTAGCCTTAAACTCAATTTTGTTGCGATTGAAATCCACCCTCCCACCCTGCTCGAGGCTGCAGACGCTCTGCACCTCAAGCCCAGGCTTGGGCGCGCCTGCCCTCGCCTTGCCCAGGGCTGTACCCGCGGTACTCCCTCGCCACAGCGTGGGCACGCTACATGTGTGCTTGCAGTGTTTTTCAAGTTTCACAGGGGGGACAGCTTCCTCCTGCTCCAGGCGTGCCCGAGGCAGTGCTACTTTCAAGCGACCCGTGAGTCCGCCCTTTTGGATTTGCGGATCTTTGATGTAGGGTTGTTTGGGCTAAGCTGGAAGCAGTGCAACAGACCTTAACTTGGGACTGAACTGTAACTAGCACCAGGACAACACCAAGACTGGAATTGTTTTCTTGTCAGAAAATGCGTATGTTCTTTTCTTGCCCGCTTACGAAAGGCGTTGACAACATCAAAGGCGGACTTTGGAACAGTGGCAACTGTGCGGTTGCATACAGCTTGGGAATGTTGGGGATTTGGGAACGAGTGTTTTTTATTTCATTTGCGTTGGCAAGAAGTGACCAGGTCAAACAATGGGATAAGGCAGGCCTGCTCAGAGGAGTGTGCGTATTTGATTCCACTTGACCACAGGGTGTGTCTGAAAACAAGGCCAAACATGACATTCAGGGCTAACAAGATTCGCGCTATCTTGACATTTTGAAATACGATTATTTTTGACGCCGCTTGCTTAAACTCTTTTGGTTTGCATTAAGCTGAAAATGCCACGTGCAGCGGCCAGAACTGCTTTTGCCCATTGTTGAGGACTCTATTCCTTGGCTTCGTAATGGTTAGAGTGCGGTATGTGTAAGTCTAGAATTTTCCACGGGCAACGTGACACCCGAAGTTGATTTCCTTTAGAAGGCAAATGCATTTCGCATGGTTCGGAAAGTGACAGCCTCAGCGTGTCGTCAGCCGACACACGCTCGGAGCAACTATTCAACCAAACCCACATGCAGACACTTCAAGCAATGTCGACGAATTTTCGCGAAACAAACACGGCTGAAGCACGACTTACACAGATAGCACATGACTATACCCCAAACATGCCTTTGTGGTTTAGACCAATAGACCTGAGCATGCTTGAAAACTGCCGGCTGACGCAGCGGGTTGCCTTTGGAACGAGGAACCATGGTGATTCCAGGCTGGACGGAATGTGTCGAGTGGCTCGGTGCTAGGTGCCGTCGAAATGCGTTTCGGCTGGCCGCTGGCCGGATAGCTCATTACCATATTGAACTTTTAATCGTATGGATTGGCAGAGTCAGGTTTTTGCACTGTTACTTTGTATCTTTTGGTTTTGCAACCGACAGCCAGGGCTCCTGCGCGGGCTCCGCGTGTCCTTCTCGGTGACTTGGCGTGAAGGAGTGCAAGCAATTTCCGATGCGCGATGCAACAAAGTGGTTCCCGTTTTGTCCCCCTGTTGATTCCCTGTTGATAGGAAACGGTCGAACTGACGCGCCAAACTTTTTGTCTGCGCCCGATGGACCGAGAGGACTGCCCAGTCAAGTCGAACGAGACAAAGAAGGCAATATAACTTACATATTTGGAACTTGTCAAGACATTACCGAACAGTTTCACGCAGCCGCACAATGAAATCAATGATCTGGGGACTAGTTTCAGCTATTTCTACATTGCTTTTTTAGAACAATATAATTACCTTTATCGTAAAGATTTAATTCTTTACAATTTCCTAAACACAAATCAGAACTTTCCATATACAATGGATAACTGGAGAACACCATCAAGACAGAAGTTCACATGCAAAAATGGGTAGTCTTTTTTTCCTTTTCACCTTGGCTTAGAAGGACACCAAAGGACATGTGCAGTTTGTTGTGTACCCCCTTTCATGTCGACTTATGCTTGAGTGATGTGCAAAATAATCCCAAATAAAGTCCATGACCATTGGAGGGTGAAGCTTGGGTGGGCAATTTGAAAGTCCTTGCAGCAGCAAACAGTGTGTGGCATTCTCTTTGACACATTTTGATTTTTGATCAGATGTTCCTTCAGAAGGAAGGAGTTCTGTCCAAATCCCAGGAGCATAGCAACATGACAGCGCACTTGTCAGACGGTGCATGTGCTTTCCACGGGCTCGTCTTCTCACTTCGCTTTCTCCAGGGGCGACTCAGCTTAGTGATCGTATCCGATCGTCCAGATCCATCAGACATGGGTATGGATCAAACAATCAAGCCAGGAATTGGACCGCAGGTAGTCCTTTCCATTCGCCAGGGCAAGCCATGGGTATCTATTTTTGACCAGCCACATGCCAGCAACAAAGTTCTTCGAGGCGGGTTGCCAGGACGGTTTCTTCACGCTGATGGGCACCTGAGTCGGAGTCACCCAACCTTTTCTGGTCAGCGGGGAATGGGGGAATGGTCGGAATATTGAACCATATTCCATAGTGAGAAGCAGGTGTTCAGCGTAAAACAACCATATTCCATAGTGAGAAGCAGATGTTCAGCATAAAACAACCATATTCCATAGTGAGAAGCAGATGTTCAGCGCAAAACAGAGTTGCCTTGGCAACATTAAGGGTCGAAACTTGGATTGGCCTGGGTTTCTCCTTTCCGAGGGTCATTTCCCAACTCTGCCGCTCTGAGCTTTCTGCTGGGCCCTACCGCTGCTTCCTCCCAAGAACCCATGAAGTGGTAGGGCTTCAGGAGTGATACTGTGGATGGACGAAATCCTGCACCACTTGGAAACCATGGGAAACCATTGTTTGTTGGTATTTACAGGGGGAACCACCATTCCAGGGCTTCTTAAGTGGTGCAGGATTTCGTCCATCCACAGTAGGGTCCCAGGAGTGGTAGGGCACCCTCCCCCTTGTTCCCTGACAAAAGCAACGCGTCAAACACGTGGGGGGCACGTGGCTGGTTTGGGTACAGCCAAGGACTCGCTTCCCGGGCTTTTGCAGGCGCGAAGTGGATTGATGCGGGCACTTGGACGGGGTCCCTGGTATATATATATATACACATGTACATATATATATATATAGAAGTATACTGTATATATATATATATGGCTCGCGGATGGTTTCGGACCCGCGGGGTCAAAACCAATGGTATTCTTTTGGGGCCTATTGTAGTGGTTGGATACGGGATGTCCACTGGGGCTACGATTCGGATTTCGACGCTCGGGCGTCCGTGCGGTGCGCGAAAATATCTCCGCTTCCAGGTTTGTGGGCCCAAGCTTCCGTGGGGTGCAGGGTGGTATGTCTCAAACTGGTGGCAACCCCCAAGTTTTGGAGGACAGGGAAGGCCCAGGGAAACCCAAGAGATTTCCATGGGCACATGGGAAAAACAAATCCATCACATGGGACAAAGATGGCGGAAGAGGGGGCTTTTGGGCAGCTGAGAGTATGGTCATAAAAAACCCCTGGGAGCCTTTGCTCAATTTGCCCCATGACAGGAGTTGGATGACCATGCCAAGCACCTGCGCTTCATCGATGACAGGCAGCCTCTGCCTGTTACCCGTAGGTGAGTCATCCGTGCTTGCACGGCAGCCAGCTAGAAAGTTCTTTTACAGGACATTGGTGAAGTACCCTGGTTTTTCTCTAGATTTTTCCTGCAGCTGGTTTCTTCCATCCCTAGGGTGTTTTGACAGGCATTTTCGAGTTTTATGCTGGTCAACCGTTTGCTTGTTGCCTACCCTCGCTCACCCAAAAAAAACACAAAAACACAACAAGCAAACACAACATAAAACAGAAGCCAACAAACACAACAATTGGGAAACAAGTCCCAAAAAGGAGAAGACAATAGAAGAAGACAATAGAGAAGAAGAGGCCATGAGGGTTTCATTTTCAGAATCCTGGCTCACCTAAAGAGTGGCCCTATAGTGGCCCTGGCTCCTGACGTTCGGAAGGTCCGCGGTCCTGGTTTGGACCCATGTTGCTTTTAAAGGGACCCCAAAAACCTCAGGTAGGAGAAGACAGGGTGGGAGGGTTGGTGTTTTTACAAACCAGCCATTTTCCCCCTGGTGTCGGGTAGTTTTCGGAAAGAAGGATACCCTCCCACCAGCTAACATGGAAGTGCACGGACCCCTGTAGAAAGACTGCTTTCCTCTTGGAAAGGGCCTAATTGCACTTCCATGTTAGTTGGTGGGAGGGTAAGATCCCTCAAAAGATTCTCCAAATCTATACAGAAGGCTTACTACGTACCATCTTTCCAATGGACGACAGGCCGTGGAATCGGGCACTCTTAGGCGGATGTTGACAGGACAAACGAAGAAGACTGCGACTAGGAGAGTCCCTAAGATACAAATGTAGGTGGGACCAATCAGCTTACAAAGCTGGTTTCTAGATGTATCCTTGGCGCTATGTACACAGACGCAAGCGCCACGCGCAGAAAGTTGGTTGCCTCCACCAAGGAATGGTAAGGGGGAGTTGCTTCGGTGAACACCCTCCAGTCTGTGATCAACTTCGGTTGCGAACGTGGCCTCACGCACCACACACACCCACAAATTGCAGAAAACAAAGAACATTGCCTTACTCGGTTCTTCTCACTAGACTCTCGATTCGATTCTCAGATTTGCGCCCCATTCCCCCCCCCCTTCCAGCTCCTCCCCCCCCCCCCTCCCCCACTGCCCCCCACCTCCCTCATGCCCGGGTTTCGGGTTTCCCCCTGCATTGCCTCTGGTTCTACTGCGAGAAGAAACACAATGAGTGTGGGTCCTGAGATCAAAGGTCCCTCTCCCTCCCCCCTCCCCCCCCCCTCCCCCCCCGCCCCCCTCCCCCCCCCACCACCCATGGCCCATGGCCAGGCTGACCACCACCCAGGCGCTGGTGCCTAAGGCGCTGGGCAAGCGCGGAGCCAAGGGGGCTCGCAGGGCTCGGAGCCGAGACGGCGGAAATGGGAACCGGGGAAAAAAGGGGACCCCGTGTTTTTTTTCTTCTTCTTTTTTGGGGCTGGGCGTTTGGGTGACATGTTTGTGGATCATGTTTGTGGATCCTGAGTGGTTTTCGGGTGGTTTTTGGGTTGGGTGGGGCGGGTTGCCAAAAATGGGTGGATTGGTTTCGGAGGTCGGGATCTAGAAGCCCTCAGAGAAACCTCCAGTTTCGGGGATGTCAATGGGAGCAACACGAAACCGGGCTGTAGTCTTTGGTCCCATTTACAAGGCGCCATTTTGGTACATGTTTTTGAGCCATAGCCACATGGAGCCTTGCTTTTGGTTTTGATTTGGCTCTTGCAAAATTGGTGGACGGCAGGATGAATCCCAGCGTTTGATGGCTGGATGTAAGGTTGACGCTGGAAGGGGATCGAAACAAGCAGTTGTTTATTTTGATTGTTACTATTATTATTGTTGTTAATACTGCTTTAGTAGGAAAGTTGTAACTTTGGGCAAGGCCATGATTCTCAAGCCCTGAAGATGACTTGATGGGCCCTATCTAATTAGGTTCCCTGTTTGAAACTTGAACCCTGTCCTCCTCCAACAGGCAACTCTATCTGCTTTTTGGCACCGGGCCAAACCGCCGGTGCTGTATCTTGCAGAGACAGCTGAGAAGGTTCTGAAATCACATGGGAAAGCACCTTCGGAAACGAATCCAAACCACCAAAAGGCGGGGTGATTTTTCAGGGATGCCATGAAATGGCAAGGTGTCTTTTTATCCCCCTCTTCCTTGTGGGGAAACATGGAACCATGGATTTCCCCCGGCCCTCTCCCCCCCAAAAAAAAAGACCTGCACCAGGCTAGAAGTACTCAACATTTTATCCTGCCAAACGGTTGATGAACATCAATCAAAATGTGACCGATGTCCAGCAAACGGGCTCCCAATCAAAGCTGCTTTCAATACGGGACAATGGATTTACCGGAGACCTCCACTAAAAACAGCACTTTTCGAGGTTTGCATCGTTTTCCGGGAGCAAAAAGAGCCAGTTTGGATGTTTCATGGGGCCTTTCAAGCAATTTTCGGGCTTTGCACCCGTTTTGCGTGGAGCAACCAGATGGCCAGTCCAAAAAAGGAAGTGACGACCACCAGAATGGAGGGTCCTTCTTTTTTCCCCAATCAAAGATGGGGTCCGGATGTGGGCAACTTTATCTTTGAGTGGCGCGAGACTAGGAAACCATCGCGGAACCATCGCTGGTTCCCATCGCCAGTGGTTCAACTCTTGGGGAATCGCTGAGGATGAAGTGCGAGGTCCCGGGCCATGAGAAAGACGTGAAGGCGGCCCTGGCGGCTTGGCCGGGAAGCGAGCGAGATCTTTTTGGCCATGTTTTCGCGGTGAAGCACAGGGCGATGTGCTTTTTGGGAGAGATGCCGCTTTTTTTCTTCTTCTTCTTCTTCTTTTTCTTTTCTTCTTCCGTTTAACGGGCAACCAGGCTCTTGTCTGTTTCGTGGGGGGGGGAGGGCAGTTGGGCCTGGTGGGTGAAGCGGAAAGGACAAAAAGGGGAGGTTTGATTTTTGTGGAGTAGTTTAGAGGGGAACCAGAAGGAAACCTAATATGCTTTGGGTAATTGGGCCATCGTATTCTTTGACACATACTCGCATCTTGTTGTTTATGGGTGCGAAAGAGTCCATGACTTTTGACTTTCCCTTAGGGGGAAATCCAAGCCAGATGGCTCATTTTTGTCATTTCTTTCCGAGCCTCTGCTTAGCACCCTTTCCGTACGCTAGTTTTTGGTTGCCATTTGGAATGTCCTAGATCTCAGTCATAGCAACTAAAAGTACCCCTTTGCGCAACAATCATGGAAGAGGACATGGGGCTTGTTGTCAGCTTTCATGATTGGAGGGAGGGTACATTCCTTCAACCAGGATTTCTCTCCCTCGGATATTTCGGAGCCAAGGGCCATCGGGCTAGCCCTCGTCCGGGATTTGAGAGCTCACTGATGTGGGGCTCGGTTGAAAACTTTTTGTCATCTACCACATTCACCAGTGGTTTGTGGCATGTGGTTGGTCTCACTCAAAATATGGGGTGTTTCTCATTTTTTTTGGGTCCCCAATCGGTTTCCCTGAAAAGAAGCGGGTCCACCATTTGGAGAAACTCCTATCTTTAGGGACTCCACCGTACTACTGTGGGTGAACAAAATTTTTCTCGCACCACCTAGCAAACCCTAGGATGGTTTCCCTGGTAAATGCGTTCCCGAAGAACGGTTTCAACCATGGTGTCCGAGTGGTGTGGATGGATTTCGTCCACCGTATCGCTCCAAGCAATGGCCCAAGGACCAGCTGTTGGAAGACGCCAACGTGATCGAGGAGCAGGACGGAGAGCCAGCGTCTGCTTGGAATTGTTGGGCCGATCCCCCGACCTCTGAAAAACGGCATTGGGTGAGGGGGTGGGCGGGTGGGCGGGTGGGGGGTGGGGGAGGCAGCTAACGCCTTGAATTTTGGTAGTCACCTCTCTTTTTTCCTTTTGTGGGGGGGGGGGGGGAGTCTAGAACAAGGGATTTGGAGACCCCCCATCCCTTCTCTGTTAAGTTGGCTGTTGCTTGGCATGGAAGCCATGCTTCTACAGTGACTTTAATGGCAATGTCATTGGAACTTAGGCAAGCATCATTGACACGGGGATTTTCATTCCCACCAACCACTTTTGAGGTGATTCCCTGTGTGAATTGATGGCCAGCTTGATGTTGCACGGCATGTCTGCCATGACCTTTGGCATCCAAGCGATGCATCTCGCGTTACTCATGGCAATGTGGCTGTGGGATAATGCCGGAAGCTGGCTTGAGCGTGTCTTCTGACCTGATTGAGTGACAGTAGATGGTGCAATTCCTTTTTTTGGTTTTGTCATCCCCTTTACTTGCCCACAACAAAATTACCTACTTGCTTTGGTGTACTCCCAGTCAATCCAGGTAACCAGCCATCTTCCAGAAGAAAACATGAGCTTTCCCCGGTGTCACCTCCGGTTGCCCTTGATGGATGATTTTGTTCGCTGGTTTGTGCAGGGGGTAAACGGAAAGCCGGCCCAACCACCGCTCCAAGCCGGAAAAAATCGAGGGACGCTGATTCGCAGGGTGTGTGTCAAAATAGGGGAACCCCTGAAACGAGCAGTTTTCCTTCTGGCTTCTCTTTGACAAACCGCCGCAACAAGGGTACCCTCAAGAACCGCTGGTGTTGTTTGGAGGTCATAACGATCAAAGATCGGCTGCACGACTCCATCAACGAGGCGATGGGCTTCAATGACCTCATGAACAGGAGCCCGACGGTGTCGCGGTGTCGGATCGCGTCGGATCGGGTCGGATGGTTTTTGTCGGGGGTTTGGCGGGTTTCTGCAAAGGCAACGAGCTCACGGATCGGGGAACACGGGCGGGTGTTCTACATTCCTTATAGGTTGGATGCATGTCGTCATGCATTAAGGGGGTCTCTTTATACCTTCATGTGGCAGCCCTAACTTTGAGATGCTTCAGGCTTGCGCAGGTTGGTGAGGTATCATTGCATGGTCAAGCATGCCTGCCTGCCGTTGTGCCATTTAGCCCAAATAGCCAGGCAGGCTACTGGACCTGGTAGGTCCTGTCTTGGCGGTTATTTTTTCGCCCCCCTCCCCCCCCCCCCCCCCGCGCTCATCGAAAGGGAGTCTTTCGAGTAGGGACCCGGATTTGCCGAAGCACCTGAAAGAGCCGCCTTCCTATAAGCCCAGACCTCTCGAACACGAGCACGTGGAATCGACAGAGGACAAAGGAATATGCACTGCTTTGACTAAGCAGCCAGTTGATTTGACCACAATGCTTTTCCGCCTGTGGCTTTGAATCGCTACTTGCCATGGCGATTAGGGCGATTCCTTCCACAGTACGGGGTCAGCTCGAGCAGTTCGGTCAACGAAAGTGGTGTAGCAGCTCCCACGTTGAATTTTATGTCGGGCGAGTATTGACCAAGCTTATGCGCCGAATAAGCCAACGCAAGTTGGGAAGCCCCCCAAAAAAACAGGCCCGCCCGCCCGCTTGAAAAACAAAAACAAAAAACAACCACGCGCACACACAAAGCATTTCGCACCTCGCACCTCGCGGACCTCGGACCTCGCCCAGTCAACTCAGTTGGCGCGTTAGGCAGTTCGAGTACAAGGGCAACCGCCTGCCGGCGGAGATGTCCGAGTTCTCGGGAACGGCGGCCGGGCACGACTTGGCTTCGCAGGGTTTCGCTGGCCGCTGGCGGTTTTCAAAGAGGGAGGTCGAGGAGGGGTTGCGTCTCTGATCTGAATGAACCCAGCTCAAAACGGGTGGTTTCCCGTTCGATTTTTTTTTCTTTCTTGAACCACGGCAAGGGGCACCATCAACAACAATAGATACTCCGCAAACATTCCTGAATGGAGCCCCAACAGCGGGTCCGACTCTTCAAAAGAGATTTTACAAGTGTTCCACATGAACCCGAGGAGTCTTGAGCAAGTTTTGAGTGTGACTCACAGGATCGACATGTTGTTCCCGGGTAAAACTCAAGTTGGAAACCAGGGTGGCCAAACGGCACAGTAGGGGGTCTTTGTTTTCGTCAAGCCAAGTTGCGTGTGAATGATCTGAGATCTTTTGGTTTTTGTCACTGAAGTGGTCCCGATTAGGAGATTCCTTCAGGTGCGTCTCTTGCGTTCCACGGTAACCATGGTCGGTATTGGTGGTCAGGAGACATTGGATGAAGCATTCTCAACCTTGGCAAATCAGAACCGCCTCCGGAGGTTTGCCACAAGAACACCCATGATGAAGGATCGTCGACTCACTTCCTGAGTTCCCCGACTTTGATTTTTTGGGGAAGATCATTTTAGTGGCAAAAGGCTTGGCCACTTTTTTTTTGTGCCAATCCACTCATTCAGAAGACGCAGGCTGGCTTCAGGTTTCGTATCTTAGGTTTCGAAGCGGGAAAGGTCCCGAAACCAATTGTTCCTTGGGGGTCCCTACCCCTCCCAAATACCATCCCTGCAAGGAATGTGCCAGGTTGGCAGAACAGTGTTGACAAGGTCAACGCAGGCGAACCAGGTTTCGGCGTTCGCAGTTGGGGGTCTTGCGGGTCGGTCGGGAAACTTGGCCGCTGCAACTCCGAGGTGGTGAGCAATCTCAACCGCGCCCAAGACATGGCAAAGAGCCCTGGCGCGAAGCTTTTTGTAGAACCAACTTGCAGGAATCTACCTCCCCTCCCCCGATTATTTTTATATTTATTTTCCCCTCCCCCCCTCTCCCTCTCCCTCCCATGCCCTGTTGGCTGCGCTTGGGCGAATGTTGGTACCATCGCCTTCGGAGGCCTGTCTCTTCGAATTTCCAGGGATCCAGACCGTCGTGGGAGGGTTCCTTCGGGTACCACATGGTTTTCAGGCGGTTGTTAGCAGGTGGGCATTTTGAGGCAGGCACATGTCGCCTGAGCTAAAAAAGAATCAGTGGAGCTTCGGATTCGGGAGCTTTCTCAACTCGAAGGGGAACATCTAAACCGCCCGAAGCCACGCCCGTGGAAAATCCCCTCGGTGCCATTGGAGGTCGCAGGGCTGTCGTTAGGGGTTGAGTTGTGGGTGTATATTTGGCTGCGGCTCAAAAAAGTGGTACCAAAATGGCACCTTGGTAAATGGAGCCAAAGACTAAAACCGGCGTACCCCCAGCTCTTTAATTTTGAGCCATACCCATTTTTGCCCTTAGATCAACCGTCGCGCTGCGGTGGCTCAAGACTTGTTTTGATGCTCTGGCAGGATGTTTCTTTTGTGACAAATGAGGCACGTCATTTTGGGGTAGCCCCTCATTTTGCGGCAAACCTGCGCAGCCCCTATCTCACTTTGTTCCTGGTTCTGAGATATCGTGGGGGCCACACGGGGCGCTCGAATCTGGGTCCATGAAGGCTTAGATTTTTGTCCGGAGCCCGACATGCCAAAGGTTTTTCTGTGGCTGCAAGCCCGAACATCATCCGCTCGACGATCTTCAATGATCCAAACTCAGCGCGGGACACTGGAATTCGTGACAACTGGAAAGGTGGCGATTGAGGATGGTCCTCAGAAAGCGCCTCGAATCAGGCGCTGCCAGAGCTTTCCCACAGCGAAAGGACCTTTTGACCATTCGGTTCACCTATTTGGGTACACTTTTGGGGAAGGTTCCAAAAGCTTAGTCTTTCATTTCCCGGTCCTTTGGTCCTGTCCTTTGGGCAAGTGGGGGCACCATGGCAACACGGATGGGAGTTTTGAGCTCGTCGAGGGCTTCGCCGAGGAAAGACATGATCAGCGGCGCGAAAGACCTCGTGAGCATCTTTGCAGCACCCGTTTCGCTTGGCTGAGATGGCCGTGGGTCAAAAATGGCTTGCCCTGGTAAGTGGAAACATGGAAAACCTGCGGTCCATTTCCTGGTGGTTTAGTTTTGACCCATACCCAGATGTTGTCTTTACGGCTGCTTGGATCTTTGGACTTTACCTTTTCGGGAAACAGCGGATCTCCCGTATTGAACCCACAAAATGTTGCTGCAGCAGTGCAGAGGGTCAACTGCAACCAACTTCTTTCAGGCACCGAATAACTGCCCTGGTCGAATGTCACGGGACGCGTTTTTTGCGTGGCTTTTGCCGGGCTTCCAAGGCTTGTCAAAAACCATGGAAGGGCCACTTGGATTGGAGATTTTGAATCCCCTGTTTTTTAAGCCAAATGGGAAGATCTGTGCCTAACCACGAGTCTAAGCTACCAATCTGCAAGTAGATCACTTCCCGTAGGAACCCAACCGGTTTCTCAAAAAAGCCGTGGCAACTTAAGATTGCAAGGCTGGTCTTGACTGAGTCGCCCCTTTGGACATAAATGGCTTTTCCATTGAGCCTAGAAAAGGTGATCGTGGCTCGTTCCGGGTGCAGAGAGAGTGGAGGTTTGGGACAGTATGTGTCAACATACGAAAAAAGTCCCCTCTTGATTAAGCATGCTCAAACCGCTTTTGTTTCAACAACTCTCCTTCTGGCTTCTCTATCCAATTGGACCAAAAGTGGGTCTGCCGTTTTTTTCTTTTTCCCTTTTTTCACATTCTGCTGCCCGGGGTTCCGAAAACCCCCATTTTTCTTTTTTTTTCTTCCTTTTTTTTCTCCGGCTGGGGGCTGGCGTTCCACATTCCGCAACCAACCTGGGGCCCGCAGTTCTTCTTTTTTCTCCAGCTGGCTCCCGGCTCAGGATTGGCCAACGAGGTGCGGACCCAGATCTTGGCCGGCTCCATGGCAGGAGAGGTTGCAACTGGACTCCTTGTCTGCCAGGGTCGGTTTCGAGGGCTCTTCTTTTTTCACCTGGGCTTCGTTCTGCTGCTCTCACTTGGGGTTCAAGAGGTTCCCTTTGCAACCAACAAAAGCAGGGCTCCTTGAAAGATCCGCCCCATTTTTCGCCACCAACTTTTAAACATGGCCGGCTTGTTCAACGCCCAAAATAAAAGTAACGGACACCGAAATTTTCAAGCTGCAACGTTGAGTCGTGTTTCTACTGCATCCGAATCCCTGCTTCAGGTCCGGGGAGCCGAGACGTTCGTCTCAATACGTCAACCCACTGGTCCATAAATCCTGGAGAGGGGGCCATGGGCCAAACACCTGACTGCGACTTGGGTTGGATCTTTAGACCTTGACTTTTTGGTTGAAGATTTCAGTGGTTTTGCTCAACCCGCCAAAAGTTAGACGCTTTTTGCAGGGGGGTCGTTGCAGCAACCAAGTTCAACTTGGGGCGTTTCAGGAGGCGTGGGTTTCCTGCGAGGTTCGGTCAACAAATCTGAAATTCCATGGCGAGGTCTTGGACCCTTGCGGGTCATGGGCCTCAACCCACTTAATAATCCACAAGGTTGATTAATCCAGGGTAAACATTAGAGGTGGGTTTTCTAGGAGTGTGCGGTCCCTCATTCCTCTAAAACATTGGGGAAATAAGGGTCATTCCCAGGATTTCCTGACGATTTTCCCTCTCCAACTTGGTCTCGTTGGACAATTGTGACACACTTTTTGTTAGGGTTTTCTTATTTCTGTTGCAACCCTCCTTTGGGGTAGGGTTTCTGTTGGTTTCCCCAAGCAAGCAAACCCCACGCCTCCTTCCATTTGCTTAAGAATATTTTTGATTTTCCCTTGTTGGTTTTAAAAGGAAGTTATCACTACTGGACATATTTGTATTTTTTCCGGGAGGCTTAAGCAAATGGAAGCCTCGAAAACGCCGGCCCGACGTGAGAGCCAAAGGAGCGCTGCCGGCCGCTTGGCTCTTCCCGCCAACCAGCCGTCCGCGAGCGGCCAGGGACTTCCTGTGACGCGGACAGAAAACGGCGGGCCCGAGACTCGCGGACGGCGCGCGTGCTGGGGGGAAGAGCTGTGGAAAGTAACTTATGTTTACACATACATGGATACGTACGTTCGTACGTACGTACGTACGTACATAGATCGATCGATAGATAGATAGATACATGCATACATGCATACATGCATACATGCAAACATGCATACATGCATACATGCATACATGCATACATGCATACATGCATACATGCATACATGCATACATGCATACATGCATACATGCATACATGCATACATGCATACATGCATACATGCATACATGCATACATGCATACATGCATACAGACATCCATCCATCCATACATACATGCATAAATACACGTATGTTTGTACATATATGTATATATACACACAGGAACAGTTGTCCCCTAGAACGTGATTCCAGATTGCTCACTTGTCCCCGAGAAGCATTCGGCAAGAGCGCGCTTTTGATGTGTGGCATTCGCAAGAGAGGTTTGATTTCAAGGTTGCGGACTTCGGGATCTTGGTCGCCACTTTCAGCCACACACTCCATGTCAATCCCCCAAGTTCACGAGTGGGGTTTCCTAAAAGAGCCGCTTACTTCGGTACGCGAATCGACCAAAAGCAAACTTTCCATTTTTTTGGTCCCGAGCGAACCGACCAACTTTTGGCCAAAAGGCGATCACCTTCTTGTTTCCAGGTCTGTGGGGTGAGTTCTGCCGGGTTACGACTCCTCTGACCTCAGCAAAAAAAACGGGCTTTCAGCGGACGAAGGTCTCGCACGGAGGTAAGTGGCCAAAGCCTGGGGGTCCTCTCTTAAGAAGCAGGAAGCAGGCGGATGAACCGATGATACTGTGGATGGACGAATTCCACTTCGCACCACTGCTGAAACCATGGGAAACCAGTGTTTGTTGGTATTCACAGGAGAGCCATATCATCCCCGGCTTTCTTAGGTGGTGCAGGATTTTTTTGTCCATCCACGGTAGTTTAAGGTGCTGTTCTTGGTATGGACATCTTAAGTCCAGGGTTAATCGACTAAGTTTCGAGCAGAGGGGAGCCTCAGTTTTGGGATCTGTTCTGAGAGAAGTCTGTTTAATCTGCTGAGTGTGTCTCTTTTTGAGAGTACCCTCTTTCGGGTTCAACACACACAGGGAACTCGGGCATTTTGGGGGCTCGAACCTGAGACATCTTTGCCTGTTTGCTGTGGTGGACTCAAAACATGCCCTAAGCCTCTAAATGGCTTACATTGAAGTGACATCCTGAAGCTCATTCGAGCTAAACTGTGGTAAGAGGGGTCCCATCCACAGAAGCCTTCTTCACCCTCAAAATGCAACCCACTTTGAGGGCAAATGGGAGCTTTTTCTTGACTGGATTTGGCTGAGTGGTGTCTAATAGATGAAGGTGCAACGTTTGCCATGTGCCTATTGTGCTTCGCTGCGAACCGCTCAAGGAAAACAGGAAAGCGCTGAATTTTCACGCGATATCAAAGATGTGTCAACACACTAGAGCCTTAGCAAGCGCGCCTATTTTTCTTGTCCGGCCGCCCTTTTGGGCAGTTGGTGCCCGAAATCGTACCCCTTACATGCTCCTTGGCTGCAGTGCTTGTTACGCCGCCGGCAACTGGATTGAACCAGCGACTTGAAAGGTGACTGTGACAATGGTCAAATGTCCCTCGAGACTTGAAACATGTGCTGTTGGCCATGCACAAACCTGGCCCATTGCAGGAGTGCAAAGCCGAGACCCTTTCTTGGACTTGCACGGGCTAATGCCATGCGGAGGTTTTTAAAGCTTGCTGAATTGCGACTAGAATCAGTGACCTGAAGGAAACTCATGTGAAGACCAAAAGGCGACCAGAAGGGCAAACCAGTGCAGATTTTCTCCTCTGGGAGGTTATGCTGTTCTCCTGTTTCAAAAGGGGGGCAACAGGTGCACTTATGGAGCTCATCAAATTGCGTGAGAGCGTGGCAACACGAAATCACAGAATCAGAGGAATTTCTTGGCTCTGGCCAGGCAAGGACCGAACCTCCCTCTAACATTGTCGCCTCACAGCGGGTGCGGAAATTTTCAGGCACCCTCCCTCCCAACAGGCCCTAATGTTAGAGGGAGGAAAGGTAACACATGGCGGGGAATGCAATTCAGAGGCAGGGCAAGCCTCAAAGCAAAGCCCGGCAGTGGGTGTCGCGTTCTTGCACCAAACAGAGAATATTGCAAAAGGGGCAAACCCGTTCGTTCGTTCCAATCGGAAAGTTGGATCCCTGAATTCTGCGCCTGTCATGCCTAGTGCATGTATTCCGCTCCGTTGCGTCAAAGGAGTAAGGGACTGGTGGCAGAATTTTGATTCTGCGTCAGGGGGCTCTGACTCATACAACAAAAACACACACAATGCGCTTCGTTTCGGAGTATACGTATCTTATGACTAGAGCGGTCTAGATTCTAGGTCTTCATGGTTGTTGTTGGGAACCATTTTACATTTTTGCTTATTGTGGTTTAGTGGGAAGTCCCCACTTAACTGCTAAAAAATATATTTTTTGCTCCCCTTTCAACGTCAACCAAGTCTTGCTAGTCACAACTCTAGACGTTGTTGGAATCCAGTGACAGCTTCGAACTTGGGCCACACATTTTTCTGAATCCATTTGGGCAGCTGCCGCTTCTTCGGCACTCGGCTCGTGTCAGATCACAGCTTCGCCACATCATCAAACCAGGCGCTTTCCGGCGGAGAAACAGCGGTAGAGCTTCCTGCAGGTTTCTCAGAGACCGGGTTTGGCCAACTCCGCCGCTTCTTTCTCGCCCAGGTCGCCATGATACGGCTCTTCTTCGCCCTCCTGACCGGGGTGCCCGGCGTCAGGCATGAGGCAGGGTGAAGTTGCCATGTGCCATCTTCGGGGGTAGGGACCGTATAACTTGAGTGTCTCCTTCTTTTGGACGGTGACCTTTCTTGGTTGTAGAGGGAAGCCAAAGTGATGGGCTCCAATGCACTTTCCGGGGAACCCAGAAGCCGAACCCGAAGCCCTGGCATGGGAGCGGCCCAAAGGACCCCCGAAGAGTTGTGCAGCTTTTGGTTCCCCCAGGTGAAAAAGCACAAGGAGCTGATGTTTGAAACCAGGTGATCGGTGCTTAGGCAAGGAGAGAGCCGTCTTTTCAGGTCGATCTTCCTTTGACCCCAGACTGAGGTTTCCAGAACCCCAAAGCTGAAGGAAGCGCGCGTCCCTCCAAATTGTAATGTGACAGTAGGGTTCTCTGTGAAGCAACCCAAAAAGGGTCCTCAACAAATTGCGCTTCACTTTCTCAGAATCCGGGCGTCAAAAAGGGCTTCCAGATATGGTTACTGCCCAACCCATGAACCACCATATCGCAATGTTGGGGTTCAGTAGGTGATCCAACACAGTCACCCAACCCCGCCCGCGTGCTCGGATTTGCCGATTTTTAAGTCTTCAAGCAACCATCCGGTCTGCCCAGAAGTCAGAGCATTGTGAGAAAATGGCGTGGAGGCCACGAAAGGTATCTCACCTGGTCCATTTTTCGGCTGGTAGGGTCCAGCTGGAAGGGCGACTAGTAGGGTCCATTCATGGCCAGGCGTGTGCCCTTAGAGGACTCGGCGAATCTTCTGAGGTTTTATAGGGGGGTGCCAGTCACCTGGCCACTTTGGCCCGAAGGAGCGCGGCTTCTTTTCCTTTTGGCTGCACGCTCCGCGAGCTCCCTGTTAGTTCGCGACACATACCCACCCGCGCTCTTTTTTTTTTGGCCTGTCTTCGGTTTTTGTGCTTGAATTCTCAGGCAGTTTGACAAACGTGCATCTTTGTGGGTCTTTGAACATCCCGGTAACTAACTCATTTCAGAGTAAAGCTGCGCATTTTTTGTTCTAGTCAGGAGACATGGCAGTGAGACGATGTCTGCGCTGCCAGAAGCCGGGGCACCGGCTGGAGACATGTCCTATCTCAGGAACTTGAATTCCACCGCCTTCGTGGACTGGGTTGTTTGTTGTTTCGCTTGAGCGGGTACACTTGAGCTGGTGTTCTTATAGTTTGGCGTGCGTGTGTGCAGCGCTGAGCGGGTGCTCTTGAGAGGGTGTTCTTACCATGTTGGCGGGGGTAAAAACCACTTCGACTTGCGGGTGCGTAAATACCCGGTACCTACCAACTGTTTCGGAAGCTCCCGTGTCGTCTTAAAGCCAGTCCAAAACAAAAAAAACATGTACCACAGATGTATGCGCAAATCAGCCCAGTACCAAACTTAGCCATGCTCAAACATCAGTGAAGGGTGCGCGCATCCAACATGGAAATTTGGATAGATGAAACACCGCTTGTTTGCCCCAGTTTTTTGTGGCTTGGTTTTGACTGTGGCCTTATTTTGGATGCCGCCTTCCCCGACAATCTCCATTGGTGCAAAACCTGAGGAGGGAGCTTGCAGCTGTCCGCGAACAAAAGCAAAACTTGCTGGTGCTCAGCAGGGAATGAGACATGGAACGCCCCATATAAACCATTCCTGCTTTCAAGGAATCCCAGGTTCATTCCGTTTCTCATACCGATTTGGCAGCAGCAAGAATTCCCTCATTCCCTCATTCCCTCCTTTCCTACCTATCCCCAGGTTCATTCCCTACCTCGCGGCAGCTCAAAACACTGGCGTCAGCCGCGCGCAGAAAGAAATCCGCCCGCCTGCTTTAAGGGAATCTTCAGGTTCATTCCCTCATTCCCTACTCGCAGCAGCCAGAAACTCGCAGAAGCTCAAAACCCGCCCGCCCGCAGGTCCACGGCTTCGCGCTCCAGGCGGAAGCGCTGGTGCCCTGGCGAGTGGAGCTTTCATCGCAGCTTCAGGTGGAGAGCCGCGGCGGCAAGGGGAAGCCTAAGCACCTTTTGAGGTAGAGCATTTGTTTACATATTTTTAGCTATATTTTCATAAAGCTGGTTTTTGTTACGAAACAAATCTAGGGTTCGTTTCTTGTTTTTCTTGCTTTTCCATCTTTTTTAAGTTCTTGTTTGGCTGCTAGTTGTTTGCTTGTTTGGTGCTGCAAAGAACAAGGCT